TGAATGAAGACCTGCAGCAGGGTAATCATATGTTTAACCTTTCTTGTTTTTTGTCTAAATTGTAACCTTTATAATCTCTTGAAAAATTAACATATTGTATAGGATTATATGGGAAATGATGATATTTGTTAGACACTGATGTTGGAGACGGAAATGAATCTGAAATTCTTCCTTGTTTCAGGTGCCCAAGCAGGAAGTGAGCTGGGTGACAAATTGGAGCAGAGTAAGAGCTGTATGCTGTTCTATAGTTTACACTTCGCTTTTAGCAAGCAAGCCCACTCCTCCTTTTTCTATACTGCTATCATGCCCGGGGGGTGGGGGGTGGGGGGGGCAGCCAGGTGACCTTGGAACCCCAGAGGTTTTTTTCTCCCTACTTGGGAGTTTTTGGTTTCTCTCCTCCGTTGTCATCTGGCTTTCTTTCTTTCATTTCTTTGTTTTCTGTGTCTTCTCTTTTCTGTGTTTTTGAATTATCCTGTATAAATGATGCAGGAATGTATCCCAACATGCCCATGTAAAGCACCTTGGACTCGGTAGTGAAAGGCACTATATAAAAATACATTGAATTGAACCATGTATATAAGGGCGGCCCGTGGCATAGGCAGTGCAGGAAAATGCCTGGGGCACCGTCCATTTAAAAGGGATAGAAAGGGAAGGGGGACAAATTAAAATTCTGACTTTTACTGTATTGATTTACTACTATTTTACACTATTATTTCAAAATAATAAAAACCTTATTAAATAAGGGATATTTTTTGCTTTTCCCGGCCCCCCCCTCCCCTCTGTATCACACACTGTAGGCATCTTTAAGTGACGTTGATACGATTGATAAGTGTGTGATACGATTAATGGTATCTAATTCAAACAGACACTATCATGTCAGAAAGACCAAAGCCCTCCGGTGCCCAGGAAGGAAAACGAGGAAGAGAAGAGGAGGAAAAACGGGAAAAAGACAGAGGTAATAATCACTAATCAGAGTAATTACCGTGTTACTGTCTGTGGTCCGTGGAGCAGAGTGTTACTAGCTTACCTTGGATAATGTGGCATTTGCTAATTTAATAAATAGCTAGAATTAACTTCAGTTCCTCCCAGCGTAAATTCATTAGGGAAAGTTGGAAATACTTTTCAGGTGTTTGGGAACAGGAATAACCTACAGCATCATTTTCAGAAATACACTTTATCTTTAAAGTGTCCTGCTGCACCTGCAGGAACCATCCACTGTGTCTGTCTCAGGATAGTAAACTGTAATAGTCAAATAAAATGCGTTTCTGTTCCCATCCCCCTTTTTAACTAATAGTTTAAAACCCTTGCATTTTTATTACTGATTAGTCTTATATGCAAAGCAAACAGCATTATCATGTGAGCGACGTGCTCATTGAATGAGGTTTTGGGCATGAATGCCAGCCAGCTGTAATTTCTCTTGCTGTTTACTTTGTGTTTAGAAAGTTATAATCTGGCTTAGATGCTATTATTGGCCAGATTTAATGTCACCCCAGCCAGGGCCGGTCAGTCCTATAGGCGACATAGGCGGCTGCCTAGGGCACCACCTTCTGAGGGGGTGCCGACTTCCCAGCCAATTTCACTTTGCCTCAGGCAGGGGGCGCTGGTGGTGATGCTCTCCTAGGGCTCCACATCAGCTAGGACCGGAACTGCTGTACAGATATCTGGGGCTTCAGGAAAAATATGTATGATGTGAATTTTAAAGCTTTATTTTAACACAATGAAATAGTAAAAAGTGTTTGTGTGTGTGTGTGTGTGTGTGTGTGTGGGGGGAGGGGGGGATTATGTATACCGACAAAAGCAAGCTGTTATTTTTACAGCATGGGACCATTTCTCAAATGCTCACTAACATCTGTGAATGCAATCAAAAAACTAAACATGCCAGAAGTCTCATATTTTGTTTGGTAGCTTATGGTTAAGGTTAGGGCTGTGTAGGGGTTAAGGTCATCATGTTGGGATTAATGTTGTGTGTTTTAATCCTCCTACCACACTGGTCAGGATCATGTTGAGAATTAGTGCATTTTCCTCTCATTTTTCTTCAGGGGAGCTCATGT